ATACAATTGCAAAAATCGATTCATGTTTTAACAAAGTGTTTTAAAAGCTCATGGTATTACAACAGGCACAAGGTTCTGAAGGCATGTAAATTATCCACGGGCTTTGAACGTCTTTATCCCCAACTTCACAATCAGAATTTACAAAAGCCACAAAAGATCAGAGCTGGGAGGATTTAACATTTTTCCTTTCCTTGTTCAAAGTGGCAAAGTCAAGCAAACATTGAAAAAGGCAAAACAAACACTCTTCACAGCAGAAGGACCACGAAACTGAAAGTCAACTAGACTTCTCCTTTAGGGTGTCCAACAAATGCCAAGATTCACTTGTACTTACAAGTAAAGGCTCACTAGCTGCAGTACGGAAGTTCAACAGACAGAGGATGACACTCTGCCCAGATACGTCTTTATTTGGTCTTCAAGGATACCTCACGAGGATGTTGAGGCCAGGCAGCCCCCTTAATCGGGGAATGTTTGTCCGCAAAGGTTTTTTGGTTACCTTGTGGTAAATACACACATCAGCTGTTTACGACAAAGCTGTGGACTGACTTTTCATTTCAAACAGCGGCATCTGGTCCTAGAGGACTACCTATCACCTGCCTAGTGAACTCGCTCTTGCCTGCTTTCAGCTCATCCCGTCCACAGAAAATGTTTTGTGCACTTCTCAGCCCATCATCAGCCTATCAGCTCCTGCTAGGAAGAATGGAATTGTATTTGGTCGGTGTGCATTGAACAAGGGCCCCGCGGCTCCCGTCTGCCTCACCGGGCTCTGCCCACAAGCTTTAGGGTCAGATCCCCACCAGCATGAGTTTTCGAGCTTCGTGAGGCCTTTCTGCACAACGAATCCCTGAGCGACCAAGAACAAAGCCTGGTGTAGCAGGGACTTGCAGGGTGGCCTGTGATAGAACTGGAAACAGCCCAGACGGGACTACACAGCCTATCCTGAAGGAACCGGGCTCAAATAAACTGCAAAACACTTTTTACTCATCTAAAAATGCTCCAGATCTCAGAATTTCATAAAATTCATGAACTGTGACTTAGAAGGTACGTGATTTAAAGACACGTGATTTAATCTCCCAGGTTTTCCAATAAGAATTTCCAAAAAGTCAAACATCCTACATTCTTTTGTTAATATCCTATCAGGAGTTTCAGATAGAAATCTGTATTTAACTTCAGATGTAGGTCTGTTAGCTTTTTATAAACTGTTATCTGAGAAAAACTACAGGACATCTTAAAACATCCAAAACATTTTTTAAATTTTAAAAATCAAGAAAACTATGCCAAAAATCTACAAACATGCGTTTTCTTCATTGGCTGAAAATGAAAACGAGCATTTCATTTGCTGAAAACGAGGTCCAGGACGGGTTGTAAACTTGTAACTAATTTGTAATCCCCCAGCTGACTCTGGTCGGGTGTTGTCGGAGGGAAGAGGTGAGGCAGCCAGCCCCGGTGCAGGCTGCCCCACGGAAAAGGGAACCCAAGGCCACGGGAACCCGAGGGCTGAGTTCAGTTTCCTAACTCAGTCCCCCAAGGGACACACGGCCACACCTGTCACGCTCCTGGAGCTCTCAAAAGCAGAAGCGGCCAAACCAGTATCTCCCACACCCTGTTCCCAGGGTGTGCCTTACTTCTTCCTCACCTTTTCTAATGGAAGTATCCAAAGTAATTGATTTAGATGCATCTCAAGGTTTGATTTCCTGCTCCCTGAGCGCACCCTGATTGGGGTGGGAGGGAGGGGGCCCTCAGAGGGATACCCCACGAAGTCCCCATACAACAATGAGGGAGAGAGGCTCTGAGCACTGAGATCGGCAGCCCAGGGGAAATGCCCAGGCAGGGACGGTGTCCCACTTTCCCAGGGAACAGCCAGCCGGGCCCGGGCAGCAGTGGCTAGGGAGGGGCACGGCCACACACACGATCTGGCAGCCAGAGCTGCCCGTGAGCACTGTCGGTGGGCAGAAGGGAAACCTCCTAGGTGGTGAGACGGGTGGCAGGGGGTCCAACGGCAGGCTCCGAGGGTGGGGGGATGGCTGTCCAGCCTTGGGGAGCAGAGGGAAGAGCACTGGGGGCACTGCTCCCACGCAGCTGGAGGCACCCCCTCGGGGAGCATCCTTCCCAGGCGCAAAAAAAGTCGCCTCAACGGTTCCCTTCGTTCCAAAAATGCAACGACCTCTGCTTCCCCCAGCAGTGAACAGGCAGGACGGCGGGCAGGGAAGCCAAGACGGCCGCCAGCCCGCCGGCCATGGGGTCCGAACTCTAATTCCCCACTCGCCCCCCCCAAAGAGGGTGCTCACAACCAGAACTGTTGCCTGGTTACAGATTTCAGCGGATCTGACATGGATTTCTTCCTCCCACAGTGCAGTGGGCAGAAACAAGTAGGGAAAACCAAAGGGGGAGGGGGCAGAAGGGAAATGCAGGAGTCTGGAAGATTCTGAAAGACGGGATCATCCAAAAGCTGCCGACACCGTCCAGACGGAGCTGTGTGAGCGCCAACCGGTCGCAGGCCACACGTTAGGGCAAAGCAGGTGCTTTAACGCAAGAACCCGCGCCCTCTACTGGTGAGACCTGGAGGGACCACTGCCCTGAGGCTATTCCCTCTCTTCGGTGCCGGAAACAGGGCCACCAGCCTGCAAAGTCACTGCGAATTTTACAGGAGACAATGCATGGCCACGTCTACTGTGCTAGACATAATGCTAGATATTTTTTTTGATAAGTTAGCCATCAGAGACATTCATCCCGTCCCCTTCAAAGGTCACCTGTTATCTCTGGGACTAAGTAATAATACCTTCCTTTCACAGAGATATCCTGTACCTATCCTGGGCCCCGGGCTAAGCACCTGATACACAGCTCACTGATGTACTACGAAGATCCAGCGGGAACTGTTATCTCGTTTGTTTCTAAACAGATAAGCAAAGTGAGGAACGGAGCTCAAGTAACTTGTTCAACCTGACACCAGCATGTGACTGAGTCACAACACACACAGACCCGTTGGCCGTTAAAGCCCACATCCGTTACCACCAAGCTACGCAGCCCTGGTGACATCTCAAAGGGTGTCTCGACCTCATGTCCCACAAAGTCCAGTCCAGACATTGAAAAGGGTCACAGGGATCAGCCTTTTAGTTACTCCAGGCTGGTTGGAGCCCGTAGAGACAGGCTAGCCTCACATCAGCTCCGAAGAGAGGGAACAATGGACACTCCTGACCTCTTCTGGGCCCGTTCCTGGAGCACTTCTGAGATCTGAGCGACCTCCTGGAGCCGCCTCAGACGTGAAAGAGCTCCACAAAAGCCAGAAGGTAGCACATAACTTCCCTTTCTGGCTGAAGGCAGGTTAGGGACCTCGGGATAAAACAGGGTGCCCTCCACAGCCTAGAGAGGACTGGGTAAGACTGGCTCCCTCACTCTGGCCCTATCGGGCCAGCTCATACCTCACAGCTCGGAGGAAAACGCTAGCAGCTCTGAGGTCTCAGCTTCTCAGCTGCAACAGGAGAACGAATTTAGCAACTGGCCACAAGCGAGAAGACCACGAGTGCACATCACAGCCTCTGGTTTGGAGGTCCCGGAGCCAGAACCCGAGTGGACTAGCCAGACCTGGGTAGAGAACAGAAAGGCGACCCCGAAGACACTTCACTTGTGGGCTTGCTTTAGATGCCCTGCGATGCCAAGAACTCTGGCCATCAAGGCAGGGTATTTATGATGGTCAGGCAGCAAGGAGGAGCTGAAAGGGCACACAAAGGGACAACGGAGATCCTACGGATCCAGAAGGAAGCTTCCCCAAAGGGAGGCTGGGCAGGAGACAGTGCAGTGACGTAAAGAGAACAGGACCGGAAAAGGCACGGGCTTGGCTGGTGAAAACAGAACAGGCAAAACAGAGGAGGCACCTCCAGAGCCACACTGGGAAACGCGGGGTCGTGGAGGAGACTGGAGCTGGGGCACCCAGGCTCCGGGCCCAGTTCTGCCACTGGCTGTGGCTTTAGGGAAATCTGCTAACCTCTCTGAGCCTGCCTTCCCGGACCGCCCAGTGACAGAACCATCACCTCCTTGTCCCAGGCTCTCGTGAGGACCAGACGAAGCCCAGGGGACAATGCACCCTGTGTGTAGACGGGGCCAGCAACGGAACCACCCGACGGTCCACGGCGTCCCGCCCCGGTGTCTGCAGCTGGGGCTCGAGTGCAAACACTGGCACTTGTTTAAAGGTCACTGGGCAGGCGTGCCTCCTTCCTGCGGGCCCCACAGTGGGGCTCTGTCTTCCCACCCACTCACCCCTGGCCCCATTCCAGGGCAGGATGGAAAATGGGATCAGTTTAAAAGCAACATTTATAAATAATGGAAAAAAAAAACAAAAAATACAGTAGGGAGCAGCGAGATTTTTCACCTCCTGTCAGCTCTTGTGCAAAAGCAAACCGTGTGTGTTCTGTCGCGGCTCTGTCCCCAGTCTAGTTCTAAGAGGTCATGAGGAAAGATTGGGGGGTGGGGTAAGGGGGAGAAAGGAAACCCCAAGAGAAAAAGAGTGTGCACTGAAATATCATCGTCAGGTGTGGAATCAGAAGACCGAGAAGGCTGACGTTCAGATTTGAAAACAACACGTGTCACCAAAAAGCACTCCTTTTCCAGGTCACTTCACGACCAGGCCTTCCACGGGTTTGTATACAGAGGTCACCGCAGAGAACCACTGGTTCCCAGATGCCAGACCAGAAGCACATCCACACTGTGTGA